GGATGCGGCGCTCGGGGGCAGGAACGGGGTGCGGAATGAAGGATGCAGGACTGGGATGCTGCAGTGGAATGCAGAACCGGCGTGTGGGATTGGGACGCGGGGTGAAGGATGCGGCGTTGGAATGCGGGATTAGGATGTAGGGTGAAGGATACGGGTCTGCCGGGAAGGGCTGGGACCCAGGATTAGGATGCAGGATACAGAATGCGGGATTGTGATATGGGATCAAAAATGCAGGAATGGGATGCAGGATGCAGGACTGGGATATGGGATGAAGGATGCAGGACTGGGATGTAGAACAAAGGATTGGAATGTAGGACTGGGATGCTGCACTGGAATGCAGGACTGGGATGTGGGATGAAGGATGCAGGACTGGGGTCCAGTGCTGGGGTGCTGCACTGGAATGCAGGACTGAGATTCTGGGATGCGATGCTGCATTGGAATGCAGGAGTGGAATGCAGGATGAAGGATTCCAGATGAAGGATTAAGGATGAAAGATGCAGGTCTGGGATGTGGGTTGCAGAATGCAGGATGCAGGATGCAGGATGCAGGATGCAGGATGCAGGATTTGTGTGCGTGATGGAGAGTACTTTTGTGGAATGCAGGATGCGGGATGCAAGACTGGGATGTGGGAAGCAGGGTGCAGGGTCTGTGATGGGGGATCAGGGATGTGGGACTGGAATGCAGGACAGAGGCAGAAGAAGCAGGGGATGCCCAGTCCCAGCACTGACTGGGACAAAGCTCTTTCCTTGGACTTGGCAGCCAGCACAGGGATAAACCCCCATCCTATCCTACCCCATCCTGTCCCGTCCCCGTGGGGCCAGGGCAGGGTCACCCTGTGGTGTTTGGGGCTGTCCCAGGCTCTGTGTCCCCTTGCAGCTGGGCATGGCTCGCAGTGGGAATAATCCCGGCGCCTTACGGGGCTGCGGGTGAGATTAAACATTCTTGTGGTTAATCGAGTCTGAGCAGCCACCCGTTCCTTCCCCGGAACCAGAGATTATCCCATAATCAATTAATTAGGCTATTTGCTGCCATACACAGGCCTGCCTGGCGCTATCCCAGTCCTCCAGCTCCAGGAGGAGTTCCAAGGCAGGGACCGTCCCCTCCCCAAAGGCACAGCCCCAGCCATGGAGGGGGACCAGGGGACAAAGGAGGGTGTGAGGGAGGAAAGTGGGAGGGAGATGCAGCAGGGATGGAGGAGAGATGGAGGAACAATGGAGGGGGCAAGTGGAGGATGGAGAAGATGATGGGGAGGGTGAAGGGGGATGGAAGCTTCAGGGGAGGTGGGGTGGGAGGGAGGATGCAGCAGTGCTGGAAGGAGGGGTGGAGGGAGGATGACAGGGATGGTGAAGGGGGATGGACGGATGGATGGAGGTGATGGGGAGGGTGACAAACGGAGGGGGCAATAGAGGGAGGAGGCAATTGGGGGTGGAGTCAAAGGGTGGAGGGACGGAAGGAAAACGTAGGGGATGGAGGGTGTTATGGAGAGGGCTGAAGGGAGTAATGGGAAGATGGAGGAGGTAGAGAATGGGATGGGGGGACAAGAGGGGCTGAGCAGGGGGTCACTGCTGGGGCCACCTTTCCTTGCCTGCTCTTTCCTAGGGAAAGTTGCCCTTTCCTAGGCGCGGCAGTTGGGCCCTGTCAGGAACAGAGCCATGGGT